TAGGTGTAAGTTGAAGAATGTTCTGTAGCCGGACTTCAGCAGGATTTCAAGATGAGAAAACGTGAATCCTAGTGAATTTTAATGTTGTGGTCATTATATAATCAATATTTTTGATCATTTAATTTTTAAATATAATATTTTAAGCACTTTAAAATTTAAATGTAACATTTAGGGTCCGTTTGGGGCAGCTTATAAGTGTGGGCGGCGTTTTCAAAACGCCGCCATACCGTTTGGTTCGCGCTTTTCGCCAGCTTATCCGAAACTGCGTTTTGGTTTTTACACTAAACGCAGGTCGCGGGCCGACCCCTGCGGCCGGCCCGCGGGCCGCGTTTCAGGATAAGCAGTTTATCCTGAAACGCACAAGCTGCCCCAAACGGACCCTTAATCACCCAAAATTTCAACTAATCTTCACTACCAGGTAAGAGAGGTAGTTGTAATCAAAAAATGATTAAAATATTTTATTTAAAAGTTATGTGATTAAAATATTTTATTCAATATTTTATACTCAAAAAATAGTCTGTACGGATCTCAAGACAATTCAGTGGTCGGCCACCTCTTTTCAGTCGATCGACAAAGCTAGCTCTCTCTCTTTGCCACCTCATTGAGTCGATTGGTCAAGCTTTCTCCCACGAGCACATTTTTTGTCCAGACTCCTGACGTAGCTCTACATGTGGCAGAGATTATTCATGAGTTATTTTCAGATTATTTCTGGGTTATTTTCAATAATCTCGAAATAACTTAAAATTAAAAATCGCGGGTTATTTCTGGGTTATTTCGGGATTATTGAAAATAACCCATAAATAACCTGAAAATAACTCAGGAATAACCTTCGCCGCACGTAGAGCTGCATCAGGAGTCCGCACAAAAAAATTAGGCCTCTCCCACGACCACCTCATTTAAATCGACTAACAAATATGGACAGTAAATTTTGCATCGATCTCGAGAAAATCCAATTGTTAAAGTAAAATGTATCAAAACTTTATTTGTTTCTCTCTTCAAAGTATAGTCAAATGTGTAATTTTTGTATCTTTTGCCCTCCTTAGCTTCTATAAATAAGCGGGCATATGATGTGAATGGGTGGATTTTTTTAGGGGAACCCCTCATTTGTATCCTTTAAATTTATAATATAAAATGGTTCCACAAGTCCCAGAACGCTTCATTTTCCCCCCAACTGGCGAAGTATTATTCTTCTCTACCTCTCTCTCATTTCTCTCCCTCTCTTGATCACCGACCCTTGGTCCAACACTCTATTCCCTGGGCACGATCAACCAGACATATTTGAATCCAGCACCCTAAAAGGTGTGATGAGCGTGAATTGTGTTGTGAACAAGAAGATGAGATAACACCAAGAGGAAACTCTTTAAAAACACGCTCCTAACAAAGAACACACAATGAGAACTAGCAAAAAAGCATATCCACTTCTTTTACTCCTCATCACCGGCGATCTCTTAGAAAGTTCATCACTTTCTTCATATTTCCCCATAAATCTAGTGAAAACAGAGGCAACCATACTCCCACCGCCTCTCAAGCTCCGAGCATTCTCTCCACAGTTATATATACATATCATTTTACAGTCTCATAATTATACATCTAGCCTGGAACCTCTTACTAAATACTCAAGTCTCTTAAATACATATAATAAATCACTCATATTTTTAACTTCAGCTTGATATCCAACAAATTTAAAAACCATTGCTTCATTATAATAGATTTTGGGTTTTTCTTGAAATTATATTTGTATATGCAATATATTGTTCTCATAAATGATAATGTTATCATTTGCATTTGTCTAAGTCTATGTTCTTATCTTTTTCTTTATGCTTTGTGTTAATATTTAAAATAACTATTAGATGTGTTATTTTTTATTTATATTTATTTCTCTGTGTAGCTTTTTATTTCTTTAACCCTTCTTGTTTATTTTGTGTAGCTCTTTGTATAGCCTTATTTTGTTTTCCCTTTATTTAGTCCCGCAGGCTAAACCAAACAAAATAGAACTCTGATTAAGAGAAGTGAGGTGCGACATAGGGAAACCGTCGTGATAACTGAGAACATGGAGAGGGTGTGATTGGGCTAGGAGTGTTGCCATCTCAGGTTTGCGATGCGGGTCCACAACAAAAAGGGCTAGGGTGTGCTATAGGCTTTGGAAGGTGGCGCGGGTGTGGGTGCGTTGTATTGTGGCGTGGGTGTGTTGCCTCATTAGTTGGGCAATGCAAGCATGCCGCTTCCTAGCACTGGGTGCCATGATTTTTGTTGACTATTTTCCTTCTTTAGCTCCCTAAAATGCGTTCAACAATCATATCTTGCAAAATACAATCATAACATATTCAACAAATGTAAAATCATCATAATCATGAAATAAAACATATAATTGACCTTGAAAAATATCACATCTTTGCTTTGCATGAATCTTCACTTCATTTATATCATGATCAAGATGCATACAAATGCATGCCCCCTCATTTCGTTATTCATAGCTTATAAATAGCTGGATGTGAATGATCATATTTTGGAATGATCTTCACCTAAAACATATTTAAAACTATATCTTCTTTCTACACCACATGCAGCAACGATACAACAATAAATATAAATAATAAAGACCACAAATATGACAAAGATATAGATTCAAACAGAAAAAATATATAAAAATTACGTCACATTATATGCTTTCTATGCATGTACTTATCAATAACAAAAGTTTGATGTGCATATTTATACACTTTGATGTCACAAACCTATGTCTCTGCTTTAAAATATATTTAATTTTAAGAAGCTAATAATAGTTATATTTTTTATGTAATGATTCTAAAAATATGTCATCTTTTTCATGTCTATGAAACTAAAGTTCACTCCCCCATGCAATAGTACAACAAATCACCAAACACAAAATCTAAGACACAACAAGTTTGGACTTTTTAAATTAAATGAGGTTCAACCAACCAATTTAGAAATAATTTGTATGAAAAAGTTAAATGAATTATTATTTTATTAATACGTATGTATGTGTGTGTATACATACATACATGAGAAGTGTCGTCACGAATCTCAAGAAGATATGACAGTCCATGCAAGAAATGCATTTCAAAGAAGAGCCCACCGATAGAAAACTCGAAGGCACAATTTTTCGACCAGACACAACAAGTCTTTCCGACCGGACTTATCAAATTCAAGGCCAACTAAAACATCATTAAGGTTCTCAAATATCCATCAATTGTTGTCTACTCGAGGGAACCTCTCCGATTTGTTTGATTAAAGTGGTTCACATTTCTGCATTAATTGCACTCAATGTTCTATAAATAGAGTCTCACACCTCTCATGAAGGGAGAGAGTTTGAGGCTTGAGGATGAGCTTAAAGCTTTCAAAAGAAGCTGAAGTTCAATATCACTCATGCCGCTGTCGACCACCGTTGACAGTCGTCGACCACAACAGAACGACCGTCACCGATCAACATCGGTTGTCGTTCGCTCCTTGCAACAAGTTTATATGCACATCGACGTAGTAATTCGAAGGACTTTGTAACTCTTTTCCCCTTGTCTTGTTTGACAAGAGTTTTCTGTAATCATCAACTTATAGTAGATTTTTACAACTTGTCTATCCACGTGGTTTTTTCACTTTCCACTTTTTCTACGTAAAAACTTCTAGTGTCTCTATTTTGAGCGTGTTGAATTTTCGTACCAGGCTAAGAAGATAATACATTACTCTACTGACACAAATTTTCTAACACACATCAATTTCCTTCCAGAATTTTATCATATAAAAAAATTCATTATCTTCTATAATTTTATGTGTCCCATAAAATTATACCGAATTAAGACATAAGATTTCTCTTATCATTGAGAATTTTTTAGTATGTAATAATTATAATATCATGGTATATTAATTTTGAAACAAAATAATTTATTTTTATTCAATAAGAATTAGAAAAGTAACACACAATTAATTTGTAAATCATCAAATTCAGTGCCCCCTTAGGTGCCATTGCACAATTGAGAGCATGTTAGTAAGGTTCTGATATTGCACATGAATAATTTTGAATCCATATGGCCAGATGATTTGTTTTAAGCACAAGCCCACTCCATATGCAACACTAACAACACAACTAAACCTTCCGTCAAGCTACCGCCAATGTTGAACAATCACAGCACAATTCTTATACTGCACACGTCCGTTTCTCCCACGCCGGCCATTTTTGTCCCATTAAGCATTTACTCAATCAATCTCTTATCATCCTCATAGCCTCTTCCAAGACACACCCGAAACCTACTTCGCCAAAACTCTGCCATGGAATCCACCATCGCCGCCCTCCTCTTCCTCCTCATCCTCTTCCCCTCATCACCGACCAACCCCCCTCCTCCCTCCTCCTCCTCCTCCTCCTCCTCCTCCCGTTCCTCTTCTTTCTCCGAACTCTCCACCTGCCTCCTCTCCTCCGGCGTTCACAACTTCACCCACATGGAAAACTCCCATCTTTTTCCTCATCTCCTCAACTTCTCCATCCAAAACCTTCGCTTTTCACATCCCCACCCCCCTCCCCAACCAGCAATAGCATCCATCATCATCCTCCCCCACGACCTCCCTTCCCTCCAATCCTCCATCATCTGCTGCCGAGCTTCCTCTCTCACCATCCGCCTCCGAAGCGGCGGGCACAGCTATGAAGGCCTCTCCTACCTCGCACCCAACCATTCCTCCTCCATCGCCCTCCTCGACCTCATGAATCTCGATCACATCGACGTCGACGTCGCCGAAAAATCCGCCTGGCTCCAATCCGGCGCCACTCTCGGTCAGCTCTACCATGCCATTGCCGCCGCCGCCGGAGCTTCATCTCAACCGCTCGCCTTCTCCGCAGGCTCCCGCCCCACCGTTGGCCCCGGCGGGCTCATCGCCAC